GTCGGCACACTGCTTCAAGTTTTTCTCATGCGTTGTTTTTACCTGATTCATACAGTGCTTTAAACACAATCAGTCCATGAAGACGAAAAAAGGCTGACATGTTCCCTAGACACCGCTTATATACTTACTGGTCGCACTTGATGTCATAGGGTGTCGCTGGCCAATAAGATTGTCATAATTTGACAGTTGCTTCAGATACCAGTCACACTGAGGCGTTCCCCATAAGCGTCTCATCATGCAGTGCGAATTCCATTTTGAAAAGGAACCACTGGCCAAAGTCACATTTTAATAATAATTTCAAATGAGCATTAAAATTTGACATGATCCATAATTTCTTTCTGATGCTCAGATAGTGTTAAAAAGAGCGCTCATTTCAGGTTTGTCCAGCCAATTCGCCTGTGCAGTCCTGACTAGGGATGGGAATTGATAAGATTTTATCAATATCAATGCCACTAACGATTCTGCTTATCGATCCAATTCTTTAACGATTCTCTTATCGATTCCTGATAGCACTGTGAGGGAAAAAGTAGTCTTTTTCGGGGGAAAAAACAAGTTGTTTTATTTGTTTTAAAGCTTACACTTGACTAAGCAAACTGTACTTTTTATGTAATAAATGGAACCTTATTGTAAAGTGTTACCGATTAGTTATACACCGATTAAACGCCCCGTGAGTTCAGTGTTGGAAAGATCAGTTGTTTTAACCATTCATTAAAACGAATCGGTTCAAATGAGTAATTAGTTCGCGAATTGGACGTGTCATTATCGGACGTGTGCTCGTTGTGTGATAATCCCGGCAGTTGGGACATCCCACAAGATGTGTGTCATCACAGAAAACATTTCATCACTGGATCGTTTTTTTCGTTTATTTGAAGTGTGATTATGTCAGCTGAATGTGCGGAACACTTTTCAGAGAAGATAAGGCAACGTATTTTAGCACAATTCACACCCAGCGGCAATTCAGGAAAAACAAATCTCCGAATGCTCCACAAAAAACTTTAGTCTCCCTACCTTACCATCGTGTCGTTTATTTTGATTAATATGTGCGAGGGAGAGAGGAAGACAGCGCTTAGTTTTGAGACGGTGAAGCCTACTTTCGCCTTGCTCCGAAGAGAGAGAGTGCGTGCGCGCGACCGAGGCTCTCTCGCTCTCTCTCTCTCTCTCTCTCTCTCTCTCTCTGCTCGATCAGTTTAACATGCGCCCTGTCACAAGCGCAGCGGTTCATCTACATTACCAGAGAGAGACAATTTTACTCACTGATCAAATAAGACTTTGCAGGACAAAGATTAGCTTTGGACGCGGTGCTATGGTGCTTGATAAAGGACAAAAGGGACAGAGCAGGAGCATCGATAAGAGGACTCGTTAACGTCGAGGGCATACAATATCGATGGATCGTAAAATTTAGAACCGGTTCTCGAGTGGAACCGGTTTTCGATTCCCATCCCTAGTCCTGACCGTGCATCTCAGAACTGTTTCTATGGAAATATGAGCTTCTAACAGCAGCTTCAGTGACATGATTACCAGTTTGGATCTTTTATTTAAAAGGCTAGAGCCATTACTAGAGCCGCCAAATGTGAAAAGGCCTCAATCGTTACTCTGACAGGACTGATTTCCTCTTCCTCTTGGGTGTGACGTCCCTCAGCGTCTCTCCATCGCTTATGAAGGTCACGTGATCACACTGTGATGCTGAAGTCTTACTCACTAATGAGGAAACGGTATTTTTAGAGACGTGATGCTTTCAGGAAGAACAAGGCCGCTGACAAAAAAAAAATGCTTAGAAGTTCTCATGATAAAAACATTTAGATGAATAAATTCTGTTTATTTAACACTTCAGGTTGCTATTAATAAATCAGTAAATTGGTGGTTTATCAAATGCACAGTTGGCAGTGTTTTGACGCAACTGCTACTGCAATACCTTTCAGTGTTTTACAAGCTAGGATAGTTGGTCTGCAAATGCAAATGAAGTTATTCACGCAATTATTTTCTCTGTTTCCTAAGAACAGTTTCCTTGTCAATATGCAACTGATTAAATATAGATATTGCCAAGTTTGAAAACATGGACTGATATAAGGTATCTCTCAGTTTAATGTTTACGCCTTAGTTGTCTGTTAGAACTCTTCCTCTGCTCGATCTGCACTAGTTGAGGTGTCATAAGCTCATATTATAATCTAATGTGTTAATCACATGTCATTCAGAGTGTAAAAACGCCTATACTGGTTTCAGCCTGATCATTTGTAGTGCTGTCACTGGTCAAGGGTGTTGGTGAAACGGGTAAGAGCATGATTTTATAACTGTTCTGTTAAATATCTTAAGTGTGGAGGATTTATGGGAGGTTGGTTGGGGCTAGTTGTCACAGGGCTGTGTCTCAGTAACTGTATGGTTTAATAGCACAATGTTTTCTCTAGCAGTGTTTTGTATGTTGGTGACAAACACCTTAAAACTCATGATAAAATCAACTTTAATCTTTTAACAACAGATAACTGTATAATACAGGCTGACTAAATAATGAAAGCTGCTGTCAATCAAAAGGGGACGGTGAAAGACGTTGGACAGTTCCGTACTCATGCAGTGCAAAAATGATGGTTGCTGTTATTTTCTTCCATAAATAAAGTATTGTATTGATTTCTGTTTGACTTTAAGCTAAGAACTATAGCGTATTTCTCTTTTAGTTCTCTGTTCAATCTCTAAACAGATGGTGCTCAATTTTCATAAGAAAAAGAAGATGAGGTCACTGATGCTACATTAGGTGATCCACACACTTGTACGTGTGCATGCGCAGCTATAGTCAAGATACAGGGGGTTTATGTTGAGCTAGTGTCTCCATCTGTAGGTCCAAGAACAGTATGACACTTTAGCAAAGTTTGATGTTAAGGAAGGAAGAGGACAGGGTCGGCTGACTGAGGCTAGTGTTATTATTAGTTTAAAATTAACCAAAAACAAACATGTGATCTCTGTGCTTCCATAAACTTCTCTGTAGATCAAAGTAGCATAAAGTCCACTATGGGCTTGGAACAGACACAGTGCACGAGTCCTCAGTCCACTCTCTCTCAGAATCTCCCAGTTTCCCAGTGGCTTTTCTCCAGTCGCTCCATGACAATTACTGCAATTACTGCAACAAGACACAGATGTTTATCATTATGCACTTGACCTGCCTCCCACATAAGCAAATGTGTTTGACACTATCACAGCAGCCAAAAAAGAAAAAAGATATAACTAGAATGTACATTTCCTGAAGAAAATGTGAGTGGGTGCTTGCAGTGGCAAAACTCGGCACTCGGTTGCTAGGATAGTTGCTACAATGTTGTACATGATTGCATACGAGCCAACAACCATGTCTGTACGATGTTGTTGAGCTGAAATATTGCTTCTATATGTTGCAATATGGTTGCTAGGTGGCTCTAAACGGTTGCTAGAGAGTGGTTACACAGTTACCATGGTGATGTTTACAGACTGTTTCCCAACCAAAACAAACGAGCCAACCCCCATCTCTATATGATGTTCTGATGCAGAGATATAGGTCATGCTAAACGGTTGCTAGGGTACTCTGTTTGGTTGCTATGGAGTTGCTTGGGAGCTGCCAATGAAGAAACATCCAAAGTGAATAGGACGTGTGTATAAAGCGAGCGTTTGAAGCGAAATAGACGCGTGTTCAAGGCAAAATTCGCTTATTGTGGGAGGGGCAAGTGCTAGACGGTTGTCTGTTTGCAAGATGGCTGATGTTGATCGAGCAATCATTGAGAGAGTCACCGCTCTGTATTTGCTCTGGAGAGCAGAACAGTGGCGTAGGGATCATTGTCATTGTCGCCGTACTTGGGTCCACCAGACCCTCCGGAGGCGTACCCAGTTTGTCACTTCACCACGTGACAGCAGCAACCAAGCTCCTGATTGGTTAACGCGGCGCGAACAGACGCCAAAGTTCAGATTCTTTAACTCGGGCGTCAGACCCGAATTCGCTTCAAACGCATGAATGCACAAAAAGCTCCAAATATTCGCCTCTTTCGCGCGTACTGGATGCGAAATCTCGCAGCGATAAACGCGTCTATCGTGCCGCAGGACCTCCAGATGCGCGTAAACGTGTCTTTACATTGACTTGACATGGAAATCACTCGCTCCAGACGCTCAATTCGCATTTGGTGTGAACGCAGCATTACAGAGCCTGCCAGCCACTTCCAATATGCTAAATCACACATTTCTGCGAAATCATCGCTCTGAGCTGTGACTCCTCAAAGTTCGTCGCAATGTTAAAGGGGGGGTACAATGGTGTTTCATGTATTCAGAGTTGTTTACAGTGTTAAAGAGGAGGATTCTCATGCTAAACATGGCCAAAGTTTAAAAACAATATTTTGGACGATTAACGGAGAATTTCTGTGCCGAAAATCTTACTTCCGGGTTGGTACAAGTTTCGGCTGTTTTTTTTCGATCGTGGATCTAATGACGTAGACGAGAGTAGAACTCCTTATATGAGCATTTCTCTCGGAAAAGCGCGCCCGCCCACACGTTGACCAGAGGAGAGCGAGACCGCGCACATCATCGCGCTTCAACAGGAGATCATCGGCAGCGCTGCATAGGATTTGTTCAAGAATGTCTTTAAATACATTTGTTTAGCTGGCCACTGTAGGTGTCTGTTTGTTTATTGTAAAACCAAATCATGTCCTCATAAACCACAAGTAAACACACACAAATGTTGTAAGTTATAACTCGCGCATGACATGGTGTGCTAAAAAAACACTGCGCTCAAGTTCAAATCATTTCTACTTTTAAAAAGCTCCAGCCTCAGTCGGCATCAAACTACACTTCCCACATGTACACCTTTAAAGAAAAAAAAATACGACGACATAAAGTGAAAATTAGTCATTTACAAAAACCGCTAAGCAAATATAAGTTCCAGTACACACCACATAGAGACGTCCTGCTGTAGTCGTTGCTGCTGCTGCTCGTCTTCAATTTCAGCCTCGGGATCTGATTCGGGATCAAAAATGTATGGCTGAATCTGATTGTTAGCCATGGTTTGTTTTGGGATGTCACAGCTTCCAGACACTCTCAATGCAAAAGCTTCGCGCGCTCGTGATTATTTAGCTCCGCCCACACGGCACGCCTCCACCCGCTCGGTACAGCCTAACTTTCTTTTATAAATATAATAAAACTAAAGACTTTTTGGAGATATGAAGGAAGCACTGAAACTTAGTGTCTGAAACCTTTAAGTCTATGGGATTTTTCGGCCGCCTTTTTGCCCCGGGGGCGAACATCGTACCCCTGATCTCTTATAAAAGTTAAGTTTGAGCAATAAGTGAGTGCCTTGCCTTTGCCACCCACTAATAAGAGTTAAGAGCCCAACTAATGGAAACACTAATCACTGTTATGGTGACTTCAAATGAAACACAGAGTTAAACCTCTGTTAATTCTCAATAAAACTTCTGTAGACGTCTGATAGAAATAAAGTCAGTCTGGTTAGTAATAAGTGAAGCTGGTAATGCTGTTTGTGGAGTTGTTTAATCCTCCTCTGCTGAGATCTTCAGATTTAATGTCTTCTTTTCTCTTCAGTGGAGTTCATCTAAGACTGTGGCTGAAGTCAGTTTCCTTCAGCGATTCTGCTTGATAAGCCTTGTTAAAGATGAGATGACTCCATATTTAATACACCACAGACACATAATATATAATATATTTGATGAAACATTTAATGCACTGAGAATATGAAAAACGTAATGTGTAAAAATGAGACAAACGACAAGAGGTAAAGTTGAAAAATAAGCCACTGTACATGTGTTGTAGGTGTTGATAGTGACATCACTCAGAATGGCTCGTCCTCTTCCTCTGATCGTTCTTCTCATGATTCACGGTTAGTCAGTGCAACACTTTAGAAACACTAAAGATAAATTGGATACGGCATTTTTTATGCACATGATGCTCCTTAATTGTTCTGAATGAATTCTATGTTTCAGGGGTTTCTAGTGATGATTGGAATGTGAGTTACAGACCTTCACACATCTGTGCACTAAAGGACTCAACAGTGATAATGAGATGCTCTTATACATACCCTACTGGACATCAGATAAAGGAAGTGTTCTGGACCAAAACACCGGTAACACATCCTGAGCCTCCATATCTGTCTGATGACCCTGAATACAGTCAGAGGCTTCAGTATCTGGGAGATAAACAGCAGAACTGCACCGTCAGACTGAGTCATGTGACACTGAAGGATTCACACATGTACTATTTCAGATTCATCACTGATAAACCTGATGGAAAATGGACTGGTGTTCCAGGAGTGACTCTTACTGTCACAGGTGACTTTGGTGAGGTTTATCTCTTCTTCTGTGCATTATGTTAAATAATAATCAGTGTATGACAGCAGCACTAGATATAATGTGTGTGTTGTGTTCAGATCTTCAGGTGGAGTCTCCTGAGAGAGTGACAGAGGGAGATTCAGTCAGTCTGACATGTAAAAGCAGCTGCGCTCTGACTGACAGAGCAACATTCATCTGGTACAGAAACTCACAGCCATTAACTGAGAGAAGAGACAGAAACAATGAACTCCTGCTGCAGTCAGTCAGAAGAGAGGATTCAGGCAGATATAGCTGTGCTGTAGACGGACACATTCACGTCTCTCCTGATGTTCAGCTCAATGTCACGTGTGAGTGCAGATTCACTTAGTCTTTTTAAAATTAGGAGATTGTGTTTGAATTAGATGATTTAAGGTTTTAATTTTTGTCCCTTTTAGACCCTCCAAAGAGCGTCTCAGTGTCCATCAGTCCATCTGGTGTAATAGTGGAGGGAGATTCAGTGACTCTGAACTGCATCAGTGACTCAAACCCTCCTGCAGAAATCCGCTGGTTTAAAGGAGGAACGATTGTAGGATCTGGAAGAATCTTCAACATCTCAAAGATCAGCTCTGATGACAGTGGAGAATACAAGTGCAAGTCCATCAATAAACATGGAGAGAAATACTCTGATGCTGTGACTTTAAACATCATGTGTGAGTTAATAATCATATGCAAATTGGTTAAAATTTCCAAACACATAATTTTGTAATAGTTATTGTGAATATTAATTTTTGTCTGTTTTAGATCCTCCCAGGAGCGTGTCAGTTAGCACGTTTCCATTACAGATTTGCGCAAAACTTTTGCGATTTTTTCTAAATGTCGATAAAAAACTATTGCTAAATGACGGCGTTTCCATTTACTGATTTTATGCGACTACAACGTCCTTTTTTCCCTCTCGCGATAAGTCATTTAAACATCAACTGGTAGGTTTATAGCCTATATCCCTAAATCACAGCCACCACCACAATAGACATTATTATTAATAGAAGGAGACGTGGTGTGTTATCCAAGCATATGGCAGGGAAAGACCCGTATACTGCGAACGGCATAAGGAGTTTCTGGGTGTTTCTCCCTCATTTCTGCTCCGAGGTCTGATTGTGGCATTTCTTTGAGGTTTAGAATCCAGTATTCCTGTAGCCTATTGTTTCTTTTATGAATTTAATAAAGAACTCTGTCCAAAGTACAAACGGTCAGTGTACATTTGCATGTGTCCATTCGTTTTTCCTTATTTAACCCGTATTGCAAAACGTAAAATGAACGGTGGTTGTTTTTTTTAAATGCAAAGTTGAACACCAATTTTTTTTAAATTTGAACTGTACACAAATGCTGCGCAAAAAAAAAAAAGACTAAATTTAAGATGTTTGTTTATGACTTTTTGCCCCTTTATTAAACATTTAAAATATTCACAACTTAATACAAAAAAAAGAAGAAGTAGATTTTAATGGTTTTCTAAGGCCAAATTAGAACCTGAAAATTATATTTTTCCCGCAGTGCTGAATGAGAAGAGCCATATTTAGGCCTATGTCTCTGGAACCACAGCCTACAGAAAGGTGTCTTTAGGTGAGTTATAGGCTAATGACAATAAATGTGTCTGAAAGAATAACGAGGCATTTTAATTTTATTAATAAACTATTGTTTTCTAAATTAGTGTCGGCTAAAAACATATCTCCATCTCCGCTGAGGCGCGCCGCGCGAATGCACCTTTAGAGAGAAATGCACCTTTCATACGGATTACATAATCAGAAGGTAGCTTTCGATTCGAATTTGTTCGTTTTAAAGTGGAAATTTCAAGCTTTAGCCTACATAGGCTATACTTTGTTTCAGTTCTCGCGCTACAGTTCACGGAGATCATGAAAGCGCGCATGATTGTTTTCTTTTATTTTACAAAAGCACAACGTTTTCTTGTTATTGTGAGTTTACACAAATAAAAGCATAGTTGCGCGAATAATGTATTATTATTTTCTGTATGACCAGAAATTATAGAGTATTTTAAGTTGTTTCCACTGTTGATAGGAAAACGCAAGTGTTCGCGCCCGCGTCTCCCTGCCTGCAGCGCGCTCCACACTCTGCACAAACACTTGGATATGCGTCAAAATCTTGTGTTTATTTGTGATAATCTTAGCCCTGTATTATTGTTGTCTAACCATTATGAATGACATTTGACTAATTGCTTTGTTCCTTTTTTTTGGATAAAAGCATCTTCTAAATATATAGCCTAATAAATGTTATAATAAGGATGATAATTATTAGCCTATTATTATTTGCGTATACCACGGACCCCAAACACACCGCGTATTCTAAGTCAGGTGACTGTAAATGCGCAAAAACTGTTTCCATTGCAGTTTTGCGAAATATTCCTTTTTCGAATTGCCTGAAAAACCTCCTCATGCGAGCGTAAAAACTTTTTTGCGATAAATGGGAGTTTTTGCGAAATTGACGTGTTTCCATTGAGCGTAATTTCAATTCGCAATTTCAATTTGCGCAATTTGAAGGGTAATGGAAACGCGGCTACTGTTGATGAGTGGATCTGGTGTAATAGTGGAGGGAGATTCAGTGACTCTGAACTGCATCAGTGACTCAAACCCTCCTGCTCTGATCTTCAGCTGGTTTAAGGAGAATGAAACCTCAGCTGTTGGATCTGGACAGAGTTTCAGTGCACTACAGAGTGGACGCTTCTACTGTCAGGCTCACAATCAACATGGATCTCAGAAATCAGACGCTGTAACTGTCACTGTTAAAGGTAGAGCGGCTCATATACTTACATTACACTTTCTAAAGTCATTCAAATGAATCTGTTCTAGAGCTGCACGATTCTGGCTAAAATGAGAATCACAATTTATTTGGTTGGAATAAAGATCACAATTCTCTCACGATTCTGAAAAGCTTTATTATTTCAAAGATCTACAAACCCTGAACATTAGGTTACCAAACAAGATCGAAACAAAATAAGACATAATACTCATTTAAACAAATGCAGTAAACAAAAATAATGTAATGTTTAAATAAATAAAAAAAGACAATTAAACATTGACAACATTCAAAGGTGTTGCAGGCTAGACCTATTACAGATTCTTAGCAAGAAACACTAGCCTATCAAAATTTTTGGGTTGCGTTGAATAGCCGCTGGTACTGTGATTAAGCAGTTTTGTTTTTAACCATCTCATACTGTAGTATGTGATGACATTTCAGGTGATTTAAAGTGTAAATTGCAGGTTAACCACCACAACCAATTAATGTGTAAATTAAAGTGCTTAATGTGTATATATTAGTGCTGGGCAACGATTAAAAAATTGAATCGCGATTAATCGCATGATTTTCTTGCGATTAATCGCATTGTTACGCGCAAAATTGAATAATGAATTCTAAAGTAGTGTATTGCGCACATTTGATTTAAATGTACTGCTACAAAAGTGCAATAACATGTGGTTTGCAAAAACTTTAAACAAATAAGGTGCTTTTATACCAGCAGTATTCCCTTTACACAGTATCAATAAAATATTTCTTGTAAATCTCAACTTTAACATTAATGTAATCAAATCAAATATTTAAACAAAGCTATTTGCCACTGCCAGGGCATTACCTTTTATCTAGCTTGTTAAAACGAGTCCAGTTTTCTTTTTTTTTTTCTTTTTTTCTGAACAGGTATCTTGTATCAGGGAGCAGCAGAAACAGTCTATGTAGTCAAAGGGTCATGATCACTACTACAGATATAAGTCGACCAACGTTAAGCAGCTTAGGTTTGGTCATGGCATGCCATGGTTTCCCACGTAAGATTACATTAAACAGAGGTAAAGCCAATTTATACTTCTGCGTCGAAGTCACGCCCTAGCTGTGTAGCGCGCGTACCCTGACGTGCATCTCTCCAAAAATGTAACGTCAATTCAGCGCTGTGATTGAACCGCTCCCCGGGTTTCACACTCTCCCTCTGCATATGTAATTGCGCGTCAACGCGGACAACGACGCAGATATAAAAATGAAAACCAACGCGTAGTCTATAGCGTTGAGGCTCCGGCGTAGGTCCGACGCAGAAGTATAAATCAGCCTAGAGTGAGGTGAAGTGGTCGAGCACAGGTGCAGCGACAAGTGGGTGCGTTCCTGTGAAATAGTTGCGGTCATACTCGCCTCACGCACGCGCCCGCGCGTTGCCGAAGTGGAATTGTCTAACTTTTTTGTACACGACGCGTCACGCGCAGCACAAATCATTGGAAGAGAGACTGATCCTTGGCTCGCTGTTTGTGAGTTTCCAGAATCTAAATAGTTATCAGGACATCAACAGGAGGGAATTCACATGGCAGAGCATCCCCGCTAAACTAAACGCAGGCCTATCAGGTAAAGTTATGTATAATTTTAATTTAAGTTAAAAAGGCTACAGCTGCGTAGCGCACAGAAGCCGTTGCATGGTTACTATCCATAGAGCGCCTGTCATTCACTCGCGGAGCGCTGTCTCCCTTTCTGTTCACCTGAGAGAACCTGCCAAAGCCTCTCCACTGCTTGTTTGGGTGGGTTATTTGCTGGCTGACCAACATCCCCTCCTGTGATCATGGTTTGACTGTAGGCCTATGTGTATTCAGAGCCAGTGAGCAACGGACTTTCAAAATAATAATTTAAAAAAAAACTGCGTTAACGCGCGATAAAAAAAATTGTCGGCATTAATTAATAAATGCGTTAACGCGATAATAACGCGTTAACTTGCCCAGCACTAGTATATATGTAAAAATTTATGTCTTAAAATGCGTTAAACTAACATTTATTGGGGTTTCTTCAAAGGTAGCATGTTTTTTACGTAACTGGGTGATGACGTCATAAGAGGGAGCGCGGGCGGTAATGCACTCACTCTGTGTGTGCCGGTTGAAGGAGAATAAAACGATTCGCGGGACTCCCGCAAACTAGAAATATCTATGAATAAAACATAAAAACGAATACATGTTTATTCATCTGTTGCAGAAAAGCAATACGAAGACCTAAAACAAAATTGAAACGGTTTACAGGCAGAGTTTCTATTTCTAACATGTCTGCAGCGTTGAGCGATGTAGCCAATCACAGACATATGTGTTGATTTCTTGAACGCAATAATGGCCAATCAGAAGCATTTACGATGGACTCCCCTCACCGCTCAAAACTGACTTTTTGTTCAGTGCTGAATTCTGTATGCTGGCAAATCCTCGAATTATAACAAACATAGTGTATGAAAGCTTCATTGATAATAACAGAGATGTGTGAGATCGCGATGAACTGATGTCAGCTTTTTAGGAATTATTAAGGGAGCGCACTTTGCACGCAGTCATGCCAGACCATGCACGCAGTAGCCCGCTTGCTTTTATGTTATAACAGTGATCAGGAGCATGTATGCTGATGTGTATGGTGGCGACACGTAGGCTAACTTGAAAGTATTTGGAGGTACAGAAAAAAAGTCTTTTTGCGGGTGGGAGCGGGACAAAACATAAATGTTGCGGGCGGGAGAAAGTAATATAGAAAGTAGTTGAGAACGTCAGTTATAACGACCCACGTATTAAAAAATAGTCGGGTTTAAACTGGGCTCGGGCTCATAATTACAGTTAATGTGTCGGGCAGGGCCGGACCGGGCTCGGGCACAGCGGGCTCGGGTAGGGTCTTGCTTGATTTTTTTGGGCCCGATCTAAGCTCTGCCTCCGGGTAAGTTATGCTAACACTTACAGGCACGAATCAGCCGTTTGTCCTTGGGGAACTTGTGGAGCCTCTCCCCAGTTTTTGATGTTCGTACATCCCGCACAAACACATTAGTTAACCATTTTTGCTAGCTAGGTCTCCAATATAACGTAACTCCAGGCCTGGAGCATAGACAGTAAAAGCTTGGAGTACCTTTTATGACGTCACGCCCAGCCTAGTGGAAGGGAGGGGGCGTGCTTAAAACCACTGTAAAACGCACCAACTTTTCATATTATATTCAGCATTTTGGTATAAAAAACATTTAAAAAAAAATGGTGGGCAGTTCTTATCTTTATGTTTAGTAAGCAGATTGCATTATCTTCGTGAAAATTTTTACCTGCAATTTACACTTTAACAGAATGATGGTTTTACCCTTCAGTGCAGAAACGATGACTAAACACTGCTTGCAATGTATGGTTTGCTGAGCAGCATCATCTGGTTTGAAACCGAAAAAAGCCTTCATCAAAAAAATCCTCTTTTCGGTACTAAAACAAAGTCAGGGTTCTTATCATCAGACCTACTTGCGCTTTGCTCTGCCTCACTCATTCTGCTCTGCTTAGTTTCTTCTCAAGTCAAGACACGTTTATCGACCGTTGCATGCGTTGTTTTTGTGATGCAACTAGCACAAGCACATCTGGCTTTGAATCAAGATCGCTATCTTTTAACGATTAATCGTGCAGCTCTTATCTGTTGAGATATTTTACTCTTTTGTCTCAGTTGCAGGACGTCTGGTGATATTATACATATCCATTGGAGGGGTTTGTGGAGCTGCAGTGATCATTACGATGTTAGTGATTTGGTAAGATGTGTGTCTATGGTTCTTTGTAGTGTGTGTGAATGAATGACTGAATAAGAAAGGTGGTAACGCTTTAGATTACAGCCCGGAAAGTACTGTGTAATTAAAGCGATTTTACAGTGTAACTTTCTGTAATTATAGTGTACCTATACCTTCCGCAGCGTTCCCCTCCCTCAGATCGGGCACGCTTTCCTAGTGTTATCCAATAATCTCACTGTATGGGTTATCACGGAATAACAGTGACATATACACTATGTGTAAGCCCTTCTCCAATCGTCCTTCCAGGCAAGAAGGTGTAGAGAGTTACACAGGGCGCTGGATGGGGTGCAGCAGCTGTGGCGCTTTGGTAGGGATTCCTATCAGTCGGTCACGACGTACGTCGAGAGTGACTGACCGATAAGGGCATGTCTCGGTTACCTATGGTAACCCTCGTTCCCTGAGGGAGGGAACAGAGACGTAAGTCCCGGGGTGGCCAGCTTACCAAGCTTGGCTCCTCTGCAAAAAAAACTGAAGTGCAATCACACCAGCTGCTCGTTATATACCCGCACTGCGAGGCTGCGCAGCTGATGCAAATGATTGCACGCCAATGTGTATTGGCTTGTTTAGTTTCACTCGAAGTTTGGCTTCTCTAGCGAGATTCCTATCAGTCGGTCATGACGTACGCCTCCGTTCCCTCCCTCGGGGAACGAGGGTTACCATGTGTAACCGAGACATTATTGAATGAGGAAATCTGAAGCTCACAAAATTACTGACATAAATCCTGAAGATAGACCAGATTTCATCACATTCAAAACGACAGTGCCATGTCCTATAGAGAAATACCATTAGTTCAAATCATATCTGTGTATTAAACATCAAATAATTTCTGATTCTGATTGGTTGTAATTGTGTCAAATCACCGTCTTTAAAGGAAAACCAGGTGGATGAAAAAGAGAAATGACACACAGGAGTCTCAGGTGAGAAAAATGGTCAGAAGTTTACAGATCAGGTAAATTAATTGGTATCTAAAAGATTGAAAGTCTGAATGTAGCAGTGACTTCATCTAGTGAGTTGTTTATAGACGTTATTTATTTTCTCGTAATGGTAAAGATGAATCATCCCCGACCTGATCATGACAGAGGCAACGCTTATGATGTTGAATTGAGTGATCCTGTGTATGGGAATGTAACGGTAAGTGTTTCCTACAAAATACTAAACTCTCTTCACCTTTAGCCAAAAGGAATTAAACGCTCAATGGCAGTGTGTAAATATCTATATTGACTAAGTATGGGAAATTAAATAACACACTCCTGTTTTTACTTTGTCTTCATTCATAAAGACTGCTCAACTTGATGATTGTAAACCCGAACTGGACTCGTCTCTGTATGAAAATCTTCGAGTAAGTAAGAATACTAGATAGAGACACAACCCAATCTATTAGCCTTTCCTCTTGACAAATGTTGTTGATGCTTTTATTTAAATATTTAAATATTAATGTTTTCACTTTCTTTTTTTCTTATTCTTTCTAACAAGAGGCTGTAGTGTTTTGGACACAGTAAACAGCCTTCATGCATCTCTTTGTGGGAGGAGCCTTGAATGATTGACAGGAGTGCCATGATGACATGTGACTGAAGTAATTAAGGGATCATTTTATAGATAGATGTGTGATAATAAAAGTAAACGGTTAATGCATTTATGTAAAACTGTATAATCACTAGGATGTGTTTCTCTTTATGCTTTTCTATCATGTATGAATCTTATTTCATTGGGATTATTAATGTTTTTGAACGTGAGTATCGGGATTGTTCATGTTTCCAATAAAAGGCAGAAAAAAATAAGGCTCTAGTGTAAAGTTCCACACTTTTCTGTCATTCAATAAATCAAGAATAACGGCATAACAAAGACCATTAAACTTATAGATTTCTAGAGATTGCTAGAGAGAAAAAAAAATAGATCAAACCATAAGAGTATTAATATAAGGATTACTGCACAAAATTACTGTTACATGTGTGTCCTGAGTTTCCCCCCGTCACTGTGTATTTGGTTTATTCCTGTGTCTCAGTTTTCCCGCTCCTCGTTAGTTCTCAGTTCCTTCACCTGTGTCTAGTTCATTTGCCCCAGCTGTGTCTTGTTCCCCTCTCTTTTCTCTGTGTATGTAAACCCTGTGTCCTCCCTCACTCCTGGTCGGTTCTCGTTGATATTACTTTGTATTGTGGGGTGTGTTTTCTCCGTCCATCTGCCTGTTTGAACCTTGTCAGTTTATATTATTAGTAAAAGTGATTGAATTGGAAATCTGGACTCTGCCTCTCCTTCAACCTGCACCACAACCGTAACAATTACACTCCCAAATACACTCCAAAAAAAAAATCCCTAATATATCGTAACTTACGTTTCAACTTATTCCTTCTAAGATGATGAAAATAGTTCCAACTGAAACAAGTTGTGTTTTGCAATATCTCTGATATATACACTCACCGGTCACTTTATTAGGTACACCTGTCCAACTGCTCGTTAACACTTAATTTCTAAGCAGCCAATCACATGGCGGCAACTCAGTGCATTTAGGCATGTAGACATGGTCAAGACAATCTCCTGCAGTTCAAACCGAGCATCAGTATGGGGAAGAAAGGTGATTTGAGTGACTTTGAACGTGGCATGATTGTTGGTGCCAGAAGGGCTGGTCTGAGTATTTCAGAAACTGCTAATCTACTGGGATTTTCACGCACAACCATCTCTAGGGTTTACAGAGAATGGTCCGAAAAAGAAAAAAACATCCAGTGAGCGGCAGTTCTGTGGGCGGAAATGCCTTGTTGATGCCAGAGGTCAGAGGAGAATGGCCAGACTGGTTCGAGCTGATAGAAGGGCAACAGTGACTGAAATAACCACTCGTTACAACCGAGGTATGCAGCAAAGCATTTGTGAAGCCACAACACGCACAACCTTGAGGCGGATGGGCTACAACAGCAGAAGACTCCACCGGGTACCACTCATCTCCACTACAAATAGGAAAAAGAGGCTACAATTTGCAAGAGCTCACCAAAATTGAACAGTTGAAGACTGGAAAAATGTTGCCTGGTCTGATGAGTCTCGATTTCTGTTGAGACATTCAGATGTTAGAGTCAGAATTTGGCGTAAACAGAATGAGAACATGGAACCATCATGCCTTGTTACCACTGTGCAGGCTGGTGGTGGTGGTGTAATGGTGTGGGGGATGTTTTCCTGGCACACTTTAGGCCCCTTAGTGCCAATTGGGCATCGTTTAAATGCCACGGCCTACCTGAGCATTGTTTCTGACCATGTCCATCCCTTTATGGCCACCATGTACCCATCCTCTGATGGCTACTTCCACCATGTCACAAAGCTCTAATCATTTCAAATTGGTTTCTTGAACATGACAATGAGTTCACTGTACTAAAATGGCCTCCACAGTCACCAGATCTCAACCCAATAGAGCATCTTTGGGATGTGGTGGAACGGGAGATTCGCATCATGGATGTGCAGCCGACAAATCTGCGGCAACTGTGTGATGCCATCATGTCAATATGGACCAAACTCCCTGAGGAATGCTTCCAGCACCTTGTTGAATCTATGCCATGAAGAATTGAGGCAGTTCTGAAGGCAAAAGGGGGTCCAACCCGTTACTAGCATGGGGTACCTAATAAAGTGGCCGGTGAGTGTATATATATATATATATATATATATATATATATATATATATATATATATATATATATATATATATATATATATATATATATATATATATATATAAAAAATCTGAACAACGTTTTGTACACGAGGGTCAAATGTCAATGGGGAATCAAAGATCACTCCTAGATTCCTTAATTTCTTCTGAAACTCAGGGTGTATTCACACCTGCCTTGTTTGGTTCGAATTGAATCGAACTCTAGTTCGTTTCCCCCCTTGGTGCGGACCTTTTGGGCAGGTGTGAATACAGCAATCGAACTCGGGTGCGGACCAAACAACCGAACCGAGACCCAGCTGAAGAGGTGGTCTCGGTACGGTTCCAAACGAACTCTGGTACGGTTCGTTTACGGTGTGAACATGAACCGACCCAATTGCAAGAAAGCACTGCGCCTTTGAGTTAACAGGCTTCCGTAGTCGGAGATTTTGGCATAATGGTTTGTGTTATTGTTGTTCAAGTGCGAAAGAGAATTCCATTCCGGCGCGCTGTCTGGCCACACAATACTGTTGTGCGTCTTTCTGCGCGTCGTGTGTGCATCACTGGAATGGAATGAATGAATCAGTGTGTGCATCAGGACATTCACATTCAGAGCGTTCTCTTTAGTCTAATCGCGTATAGATGCAAAAAAAGCTTTCGCAGTTCATATAATGTAACGATTGTTACAATACTGATGCTGCGTTAAACTGGACAAACTTAATCGCAGCGTTAACATTGACAGCACTTGTTAGCAGTAAGAATCTCGTTATTTGAATGTGTGAACATAGCCCCTCTCTATGAATGAAAACTTTATACCTTATCCGTCTTCTGCGCAGTTTCTTCATATTGCGTTTGTACAATAACACAAAATTAGTAAAATAACAAATATTGCAGTACGAAATATCTCCATGCTGAGCCTTTTTTCCTGATTTCCCTACTTGAGAATCCTTGTCCAATGAATGGACGACCTTAGCACACGTGTGGTTTTGTTTACAAATTTTGGTTTACTTGCAAAAAGAGCAGTGTGAAAGCGAACCGTACCAAAAAATTAAAAAAATTAAACAAATTGGTCCGGACCAAAGCAAGTGAACTATCGGACTTTCCTGGTGTGAATACACCCTCAAATACAGAACCATCAGAACCACAGAACCAACCAAACAGGCAGCTATAAAAATTATGTCATAAAAATCAAGCGTAGCGTCAGTTCTGTCAGGTCACGTTAGTCAAGCTCGCATCAGCTGACTCCTAGCTGACACACATCTACCTATAGGATACAATGCCTATCACTGTATACATATATAAGCTCCTTCAGTATTATCAGCAGCTATCGCGTTTCTCAGGAGCTGATTACCCTCCTCCCTCCCCAGCTCCTCCTGTCACCCAGTTAGGATTTGGCATTCTGATTCCCCTTGAATCAGAATAAATTCTTGAATTATGTTGTACTTTAAAATCTTGAATTAATGATATCTGCATACATTCATGTTGGTTCTGTTTACCCTAAGCAGAGGTGGGTAATCCAGGGCCAAAGAGTAAAAGTCCTGCCATAAGTTTATTCCAACCATGACCTCAGTCAGCTGATTTCAGTAATTAGTTCTGTCTTCTGTCTGAATCAGCAAATCCAGGTGATTGGAACAAAATACTGAGGAGGACTTTTACTTTCTGAACCTGGACTTTACACCTCTGGCCACATGTCAGCCAAGAGTAAAGAAATAAACCAGAACTGGATCTTATC